CTACACTTTCTCTTTAACATTTTGAAGGGAATATTTGAGATTTGGTCCTTGACGAGTCAGACTTGGACTTGGTTCATCTACAGTCGGGTGGGGAAAAAAGCAAACCAGACACAATATAACTTCCTTTAATTTATTCTCTGGCTGTCGAAAGTGTAAAAAGAAGTCTCAAACAGCGTGAGCTTCGTTTTTCTCTAGCAGAAAGCAGAGCAGTTCATTAGCCTTATCTCAGTTAAATTTGCCCACATGGAACAGCATGGGGAAATCAAGCCTGGAATCCAATGGAGTTGGGCTTGGCAGGATTTGGTTGTTCATTAATTATGCTTTGTAATGAGCATTTCTGTGGAACATTATTATTACATTGGTGTGATAATGGCTGCTTATTTTACAGCAACACAAAAATATCCATCCCGGTCCTTTTCTAATGTCATTGGGTGGAACATTTAATCAAGCTGTCAGGGTATTGAAAATAAGTTTCCTTTTTCTCCTTGAAACATAGAGGCCTGGGGAATATCTATTAGGCCCCTAATTGATTGCAAACTCATGGCCTGAGTCACATCTCAATCTTTCCAGCTTCTTTCTCCTCACTCTGCTTTCCTCCAGCCTGGCTTGTTAGTGTCCACAGTGTCATAACATGCATGGCTGTGGCTGGTTTTGTGGAGGGTGAAGAGCAATAATTTAATCATTAGACTGGGACGGTTTCAAATAGGAACTGTGAGTTCACAAGGACACCGTATATAAGGAGGTGTGGATGAATGTGCTTCTTTGAGAAGGATAAACAAATGTCGCTCACATTCGCTGAAAAATGACATTTAAATTCATGTATTTTATTTAACAGCAGTACAGTGGGTAGTACCGTTACCTGGGTGTGAACCTGAACCTGGGGCACTAAACTGTGGAGTGCTTTCCCCGCTGTAGTGGGCGTTTATTTCTGCAGGAGTTCATACATTATGTGACATGCATGTTAGGTGAAGTTAGTGGCTTTAAATCAGAGGTCTGTATGAATGCGAGGATGATGACTTGATGGGCATCTTGTCCTGGGTGTACGCTGCCTTGTGTCCAGTGTCAGCTGGGGCGGCCACCAGCCCTTGTAAGGACTGGTAAAGAGTTAGATGATATGAAAACTGCTTCAGTTAAAGTTGCATTTTCAATAGATGTTGCCCTGTGTGCATTTTGGTGCTTAGCAGTGAAAAGTCTTTCAGGCATGATGGGAGAGAGAGATGAAGTGTAAGAGAGCCAAAGTAATGAAAGGCAGGGAGAGAGAAGGCTGCAGAGGGTGATGATGGAAGAAGGAGTGATGGGAGAGCGATGAAGGGCGTGAAAGCTGGACTTAAATAACAATAAAGGAAGCGAAAGCGACGATAATGACAAACAATTATTAATTTATTCGATGCAAGTCATCACCCCACATAATATATAATTACAACTTGAGTTCTGAAAGACTTTTAATAACTGGCTGAACATAAATAATACACAGTATGCAAGTAAGCGCTTCTCACTTATACAGTAATAAACTCTTATATTCACTGGAATGTTTAATTAATTGTTGTATGTGTAATTGCCATAGTAAATGTGTCACTGTTTTGTATTGTCCTTATTAGCAGACCTTATGTTGATACAAGTATTATGAGTTCAATCTTAAATGTTTTGACTTCTATTCTGATTGGTTATATTTTCCTGGTTGTGTGGATGCATTATCCATCCGTTTCTGCTTATTTGCCTCATGAATTAAGAACTGAAATCGAAGTAGTTCCAATTGATTTTTTCAGATTTAAAACTGCACCTGATACTACGCACAAATTAACCAACAGAGCTGGAGAAGCAGAATATCTATTTTCTTTTTTTTTTTTTCCCTCTCTGACCTGCTGCTGAGCCCACAGTTTCTACTCTGCAGGCTTAATTTTTAGCACCAAATTGAAGGAAAATTCATTTTCTTCCAAACAATGTCTTTTTTTCGAAGTTGACAGACTTACAATTTGTGATCTGTAGGCATTTGAATTAGAGGAGTGCTATTTAACTACCCGTAGAGATCATTTATAATTCGATCGAGGATTCTTAGAGACCGCAACCCATGACACACAATTTTAACACGAAGGACCCCCACAAAAAACGGAAAAACACTGATCAACTTCTTAGGGTACTCTGGGTTATTAAACTAGGTCGAGTTGAGTTACAGTTTGGATAAGCTGTTATGCAAGAGAAGTGCCAAGCCCATTTCAGAGAACTTATGACAGCTGGTTACAGTCAGCCACACAGAAAGCCATCACCATGGTTACCGACTACTGCTTAACTGACTCAAAGTGACAGAGTGATGACATACGATGCATCTGAATTTCATCATCCGATTGGTTGATTTGAATCTCTGCTCGCTCTCTCTTAATTTGTTGTTTTAGGATATTATAAGTCTCAGTTCTATTTAGCCTTTGGTGTGTGTGTACGTTTCATCTGTATTTCAGTAATGAGTTTTAGTTTTTGCATCATCTTGGGGTTTTTTTTTGTGTTTTTTAGTAGCAGTACTGGTCTCCTTAGTGCTTCTTTTTTGCCTGTCTTTGTCTTGTTGCATTCATGATTTAGCTACTTGATGGCCTGTTTAACTTTAAAGGTTAGTTTTCTTTCATGTCCTAACACAGGACATGAAAGAAAACTAACCTTTAAAGTTTTGCTTTCTGGCTGCCCTCTCCTCCCTTATTCTTTTTATTCCTATCAATTGTATACGCCTGTGTCTCATTCCCTTCCTATTTCCTAATCATGTATTGCCTTTGTTATGCCATCCCATCTGTACTGTAACAAATTGCTGTATGAATTCTAACGTGATTTTACAGTAAGCAGGCTGTCTTTCAAAAGTACTGTTGTGGTGGACCACTAGAGGGCTCCACTCACACCCAGTGTATAGGAAGTGTGTTCCTGTGTTTTGTGGCGCGATATGCGCAGTTGATGTTGGAGACGAATAAAGAAGGAGTGAGAACTGAGAGCTCTGTGTCGTTGATGCTTACCTCCACACTGTCATATTCTGTAAATAACAATGCATTCTGGGAGCTTGTGGCAGTTTAGTTAATATAGAGCCTATAATACAAATTTTAAATTTACAAATGCATAATGGATTTCTAACAGTCCTGAGAATTTTCAGCAGTGAGTGAAAGGTTTTCTAGTGGTTGTAAGTTTCAATTTTTTAGTCTTTATGTTTAGAAACTTTAAATTTGGCATTAAAAGCAACGTTAAACATATATCACTGCTTATCATCTGCTAGCAAGGTTAAGGTTAGCTTGATTGTTGCTAATGCAATCATTAGTGAACCCTGAGGAGCTTTTGGCACTGATACATAAGGTAAGCTTTCGGTATGGATCAACATTTTGCGATTTGTGTACATAGTTTATGGTTGTACTAAAATAACGTGATGTGCTGAAAAGAATATCAAATCTTTTGTCACTATATTTATTTTAGCAGCAGTTTTTTAAAAAAAAGTACATAAATTACAGTCTGGTCACTGTACAATTTAAAAGTAAAGTGCTGGAGACCCCGCTGCCAGTATTTTACTGTCAAACCCACAAGTTTTATCTTAAAGTTTGTATTGTTGAGTAATGTTCTGATGGCTTTTGGTTTTCTGTTTGGATGTGGTTTCAGAGGTAGAGTGGGTTCTCCACCAATCATCTGTGGTGCAATCCCTGGCTCTTCCACTTTGGATGCTGAAGTGTTCTTGGGCAAAATAGTGAACCCATAATGGCACCCATCAGAGTGACTGTGCGTGTCACATTTAAAAAAGTGCTTAAAGGCATAGGATAAAGCACTGTGTGAATGTAGCTTGTAGTAAAAAGCTCTTTGAGTGCACAGAATAGAAAGGTGCTATATACTGTGAGCACAAGTACATTTACTATTCCCTTTTTGGAGCTTTTTGTATTTTTGTTGAAATTTTTCTTGCCTTGTACTCCTATTAGGTCCTCAACTCCTCACCTGTACTCACATAACTAATGTGGCTCCTAAAATTGCCTTTCATATTTTCTACAATGCTAAATATAAACAAAAATCTAAATATGTTTGACAGGCAAAAAGCTCACAGCTGTCACTAAATGCTGCTAAATTCCTGATTGATGCACAAGAACTGCATGTCATTGTTTTTCATCATCTGAGCCCTGTCCAAGACAAACTCATGAGAAAAGCACAGAATCACAGGTTATGAAAAAAATACATCTTGATGCAGGACGCCATCAGTCACAGTAATAAGCTGCTTTAAAGAAAAAAAAAATAGACTTTCAGGACCTTTTCGCTTTGGTGCACAAGAATTCAGCTAAAAATCACTGTTATCTTCTTTCTTCTTGCAGTAAGCAAGAAGCCAGCAAGTTATTTCTTGTCAGGAGCCAAGAAATAACTATAAAGGTGGTGCATTGTCAGAGAAAGAAACACATATTTCAAGCAATTAATAGACAAACAAAGTGATAGACATTAAAAATGCTCTGTCGTGCAGACAGGAAATGTCAGTGATTTACTAGAATTCATCTGCGGCGGAATGCGTCGCGGTTTTCATTTTCAGCCTGGACAGGCAGCCTGCTGATCTGTAGGTGGATTCCTCTGTAAAATTTATATTTGTCATAGTCTTTCACAGCTGAGCTGATGTCACAGTCAATGGTGTCAGTTAAGTTTTTATTTCCGGTACAACGGCTCAGTGTTTACCATCTCAATCTTTTCTTGCTCATTTACACCAAATCGGGCGATGAAGAAATTCACTTTGCAGAAGTACTGCAGGTTTGAATCCAAAGTTTATGCTAAATATTTTTATTATGCACATATGGTTTGGCGTTTTTCTTTGTAATATTTCAGAACTAAGGGTGTCTGAAGATGGGGGTTTTTTATTATGTAACTTTACAGAGCCACAAGACTTGGGGACATCCTACCCAGACTACCTAACTTGAATAATGCTCACAGGAAAAAATTTAAAATTTAAGCTCTTCCACCCCTTTGTGTTTTCAGTACAGGAGCAAAATATAGAATAGGAACACAGGAGATCGTGCAAAATTCTCACTATTTACTTCCTTCAGGCCAATTTCATTTGTTTCATCTGATCTGATCTAATCAGGATGATTTGGCTCACGCATTATGGCTCTTTGTGGGCACAAAATCTCTTCCGCTGAAAGGCTGTGTGTAGAAGTGTACCTCGCTCAGGTCAGAAACCCAGCTCCAGGCAATAGGAGCAAGGCCAGTCAGTGATGCAGAGCAGCAGGAGTTCTGCTGCAAATGGTAGAAGTGCGTGCACTCTGCTGATGATGCAGACATGGCTCACCAGGGGACTGATCCACGAGCCGAGTTCCTCCCTGGCTGTGATGAGGAAACTTGGGGACAGACAGTTCTGCTAATCAGTCAAGGAACAGATGTTGAAAATGAACCGACATGTTTAACTCCATCCGGAAAGTCCTTTTACAGATTCCCTAATGTGGAGACATGTTTCTTGCCATTCTGTTGTCTTACTGTTGTCTTTAATTAACTGGCTGAGTAAACCTGCAGGGAAGAGTTTTCTGGCTTTGGCATGGCAGATCTGGCTCCAGACCTTTGGAGCTCCATACTGATTGGTACTTTTGCAATTCTCCATCTCTCTGCTTATCTCCAAGGACCAGAACTATAGACACCTTGTTTTGACTGTATCTTGGGACGATGAATGCAATTACTGGTGTGAGAAGGCCTCATGCTTATCCACATAAGCTGAAAGAGAAAGCAGCCAACTAATTAAAAGACATTTTATAATTGAAAAAAGACTTATTTCACCAATTTTCCTATAACAATAAATGGTAAGAAACCACTTGAAAACAAAGACCATAATTACAGCTATGAATAGTTATCTACTAGAAGTTTACATCATGCAGAACACAGGATACCCATCAATACTATCAATCAAATAAAGTAGAGAGAACAGAAACAACAGTCTAAAATGTTTCAATCAGGACCAATAGAGTATATCTGACAGCATGGCTCTAGACTGGGACCTACTGCCTTTCTCAAAGGCTAAGGTAGGAAAAATAGCAGCAAGACCCCAGAGTAGAAAAAAATAGATTCCGACAAAAGAAAAGAGGAACAGCAATGGAGGGATAGGTTACAATGTGGCTTGAACCTTAAAACAGCAACTGCAAGCGGACTAAGGACACCTAAATATCGTTCCCAATGTGAAAATCACCCATTAAGCTATATACAAACTGAAAGTGATTTGCAGAAATGTGGCAACTGGAAACCAGATCAAGTGAATGAACTTTAATTCAATTCAGTTTTTTAATATAGTGCCAAATTACAACAACATATTGTACAGTAAAGACCCTACAATAATAGAGAGAAATCCCCAAAATTAAACAACCACTTTTAAGCAAGCACTTGGTGACAGTTGAAAGGAAGAACTACCAGTAGGGAGGATGGCTGCTCCTCCCTCAGTAGCACCAGGCTCAGGGAGGAGCAGCCATCTCCTGTGATCAGCTGAATGTGAGGAAGACAGGATAAAAAACACACTGTGGAAGAGAGCCAACCATGAGTAAAATACCTGCTGGCAACCAGATGTGGTTAGGATCTATGATAGATTGACAAGCAACTGAAGGGATTACCAGTGGGAGTAAAGAATAGGGGAGACCGGGGATAGTTGTAACATTTTTGACATTTCTGTCTGTAAATTGGAGCTCTTTTAAGGTAGTGGATTCAAAATGTAATGCAAAGTATTTACATGTCTCTGCTATTAAATAGTGCAGCTATTTTCTCTGCAGCACAATTACCCATTGCATGGTATGGCCTCAAACACAAAGAGTGAAATGTTACAATTAACCCCATAGTCTGGGTTAGTTGTAACATATCCTGGGGTGAAATGTAACACAATGAAATAAGGGTACTAACAAAACATTAACATGTAATCTTTGTTTATTCAACACATGAATGCACTTAGAGCCATTTATGTAGCTGTGTGTGTGTGTGACAGAATGCAGAAATCTAGCTTTTGAACATATTCCAACCCCCCAAAAAAGACAAATTATGGAATTTTCTGCAACTGAATATTTCATTAATTTTGGTTGGTCTTCCTTGAGTTTGGCCTCATTGGCTCAGTGGGCATTATAACCTACAACTCTTGCACCAATTTTGAACATAACAATGAAGCTGAAAAAATGTAGTTGTTCACCAGCATCGCAATTCCATTACTTTTTATCATGGCTTACCTTGGTGTGGTTTGCAAAGTGCTTCAGAAAGATGAGGAAATCTGTTTCTTGCACCCATCCTGATTTATTTCCACTACCAGTACTTCCTACTGGTCCATCTCTGACACAGTGGTCTGCATAATGGAGGAATTGTGTTGCCAATGGCATTAACCGCATATACAAATGCGACCAGTGAACCTCTCTCTGCTGATGTCGTTGCCCCAACTTGTGTAATATAAGTTAAAGTAATAGTGTGGTAAGTTGTAACATCTGCATTATTGTTACAACTGACCCAGACTGTTGCTGTTACAACTGACCCAGACTCCTATAGCCATGAACTAGCTAACATTACAGCCAGCGGCTAAAACATTAGCACTAAAGACCTACACAGAATATATCCCCATAGACATACAAATAACATAATTTAAGTTTGATGGGTTTAATTGCAAAGCAGATAATGCTATTACAAATTGAAATAAAGTAGAAAAACTTACTTTTTGGCATACAAATTACTTTTTTTCGTGTTAAATTGTCTGTGTTTGACAAAATGTGCTGATTTTTCACATGTGATAGCAGAACTGAGTTGGCCATGCACAGGATGAGTCACATCATTTGAAACTTAGCCCTGATTGGAGAAATTGGAAGTGTTACAACTGACCCACGTTACAACTATCCCCGGTCTCCCCTACCTTTAATTATAAGATAAGATAAGGAACTTTATTGTCATTGTAGTTAGGGCTGTGTGATATGACCAAAATCTCATATCCCGATATAAGAATTCTATCATCCGATAACGATATAAATCACAAAAATGTAACATTTTCTGTAAATTCTGTGAATCTCGGGCAGCTCGTCTTGCGGGAAGTGTTTCCAGCTGTGCGTCATGTAGCTGGAGTCGAGTGTTTTAACCGATGCATGAAACTATACATTTTTAGACATAAGTTGTAAAGGCCGCTGTTTTCTTTGTGAATATTTATTACACGGCGTGCTGCGGGGAAAAGCCTGTTCTAACGTTTGAGTCTCAGGTTTATTTTTTAGCACCTGGCGGCTCTTTTTTACTTCTCATCCGTAAATAATCTGCTCTTTCACGTGATTCAGTTTATTTTGAAAAGTCTCAACAGGATCTTGAGCTTTATTGTGAAAGGTTTATGTGGAACAGAAACATGCGGACACGCGATGCTGTTACCGTATAAAAACAGGCGCTTGTCTGTCTGTAGTGTGGTTATATAAAATATAAGAGAAAGAGAGAACTTTAAGAAATTAATATAGCCACTACAGTGACCATCAAAACGATGAGAAGAATATTGCCGTAAACAGTTTATTTTGCGACACCACGAAACAAACGATAGCCTAAAATGAAACGATAGACGTTTTTATATTGTCATCCGATATATATCGTTATATCGAACAGCCCTAATTGTAGTTATACAACAAAATTTGTTTGGTAGCTCACAGAGGCCAACAGCAATAAAACAAGAAGCAGCATAGTAACGTAACATAAAAACCATAGTAAACGTAGTAAAAGTATAAAATATAAAGTATAATTGACATATGACCCGGTAGTAAGTAGGTCAGAGTGTCGCCTTCATAACCAAAGCCCAAAATGTCAGAAATCAACCAGCTGTCAGCCTCAAAGCAATGCATGATGAGCAATTCAGTGTCCAACAAGGTCTTATCTTAGTAAAATGATTTGACTGTTTTTAGAGTGAAGCCTTATTGGCTGCTAGCAGTATATCAAATAAAACCATTGCTGTGTATTTACTTGCACAAATACTCTGCGTATTTAAGTTTTCACCTTTGTCCGATCAAATCCATATTGAATTTTGAAGAATTTGCCCTTTACTTCAAATAAATTCAAAGAAAACCTTGAAGGGCTTTTTAGATTTATCTTGTTTGAAAAGATCCGACGCATTTCCACAATAGCCCACTGAAGAAACATTTTGAGCATAAAGAATAAAAAAGATTCGATTCAGGACTGTTTTTTGTTTGGAAGTGCATTACTTGCCCTACTAGTAGAGTTATTTATACGCTTAAAGACCCCTGTGGTTGTAGATCGTGTATGTGGGAGAACAAAACAAGGCAAAAAGTAAAACTTTAGATCCCAGAACAGAAAGTGCAGAGAAAACGAGCCCAACTTCACATTTTCTGGAACAGAGACACACATTTATTTCCTGGCTGACAATAAATTCCCAAATGCAAATTGGCAATCTGGGTGCATTACTTTGGAAAAGCAAAGTCTTTTTGGATGACTTAATAATTACATTCGCATTTATAAACCGATTTTTGCTCGTGATCGGTGTGCACATATCGGCTTGATGAAATATGTGTTAAAGAGTTACAGAGTTTAGAGATAGTGGAAATTTATTGGACACATTTTGCCGGATTCTCACAGAATCTTCTGATCTTACATGAAATGCAGCAAGAATCAGAAAGCATGTGTGCGAAACTGACTGCAAGAATCGGTGCTTGATATGAGTGACAAGGCTGATTATTTCATGTTTACCGACTCCTCATTACGTTTGTTTACTCTGATGAAGGCATGAGCTGAAATATTGAGTGCTGTTTTTCGCTGCTGTTTAAAACAAGGTTATTTAAAAAGAAAAAAAATATACACAGTGGGTCATGTGCTCCTGCTGGATAAAATATAATACCAGCGACAAAAACATACTAAGGAGTGACTAATTAAAACAACACAATAAGACACTGAAAATAGTACCAGTGAAAACACCAAGGTTGTGTTGCTGTGTGTTTACATGTTTCTGTAGAAACTAAGAAGTGACAACCCTCAAGACTGAACTCTGTTTCTATGTAGTATTATTATTCAAACACAGGCTCACTGTAGCTCATGCATAGTATTAACTCTCTAAATTTAATCAAAATTAGCCTGAAGGTAAAAATAAAACATACACCAGCTTCAGTTCTCCTTCCCTGTCTTCACATCTGCTGCTTTTAAGAAAACACATTAAGCAATTGTATAAAGTGATTAATGTAGCCTCCATATGTGATATGTACAGTGGCATATTTTTTTCTGTACACAACCTCTGTACACAACAACAATGGGCTTGAAATGAGGCAATCAAAATGTGACCAGCTATAATTCAAGGGGTTTGAATAATGGGTTATCTATTTGGAAAATACAGACACTTTCCCCTGATTTTTACAATCTCAAAAGACAGTCGTGGTCAGGTGTCTGGGGATTCTTTGCCATTTCCTAAATAGATTAAGGAAACAAAAAGTCAGGAGTTGACTTCCAAGTGCTGAATTTGCATTTAGTAGCTGCTCACGGGATCTTTCAGTATGTGGCCCCGAGTGACGTTAAAGGGCATCATTACAGTTAAAAAATAAAAATATAAAATGAACAGTAGCACCACAAAGGCCTTGAAGAGCACAGAAATAAACCTGAAAATACATAGTTGCGGAATTATTTTTGTGGTAAGGAAAAGAAAAAGCCTTCACCATATCTAGCCAGTCTAATGCTCGCCAGGAGTTATGACTGCTCAAGTCTACAATCAAGATGGCTTCAGGAGTGTAAAGCTGAGGGCAATGCTTCAAGATGCACTAAGATTAGAAAGCTTGCTCAGTTTGAGACCAAGAATAATTGCACACAAAATTTCTTTAAGCTGCTAAGCATGATTGTGCAGTGGTGGTTAGCACCATCGCCTCACAGCAAGAGGCTCCAGCGTTTGAATCTACTAGTGCATGTTCTGCCTGTGCTTGCATGGGTTCTGCTCAGGTACTCCTCCCCAAGTCTAAAGACATGCATGTTAGGTTAAATAGTGATTCTAAGTTAGTTCTCTCTGTGTTATCCCTGCGATAGAAAAACCTGCCCAAGGTCTGTTTTCACCCCATGACAGCGGGTGTAGGCTGCAGCCCCCCTGGAACCCTGAATTGGATAACCAGAAAAAGATGGATGGATTCCCTCAAACTAGGCCTTGTGAATGAAATTAATCACAGATTAACTGATGGTTATTAGGCAAAATAATAATAATAGTAATAACAATAATAATAATAATAAATTTAAAAATGGCTCTTTATTGCACACCACAACATTAGTTAAACCCAGTGGAAAGTGTTTTTAAATCCGAAATGCTAAATGGCCTAAAGCTGAAATTCCTCATTGTCAATTAAATCTCATTTATTTTAAACCCATTGAAGTGGAGGTTTTAAAAAAGATGTATTCAGATAACTGTTCATATACAGTATCTGATCCGAATAGATTTCCAATGTTACTTCAGTATCAATCACTGAGAAATCATAAGTCTCGGAGCTTTCAATAAAATGGCCTTTAAATATTTCGTATATTGTAAAGGCAAGAGCCTGTTGTTTCTGACATGCAGGTTCAACAAGCCAAACTAGCGCTAATCTGTCTGTTCGTTTGATAAAGTGCAGCAGACAGCCCGGGCTAACGAAACGAGGAGCCGTTGGCTCAAAAGCTAAATAAATAAACTATGACTCTACTTCCAAACGGGTTAGACTTCTGAGGGTTCTAGTATGTAAATGCACGACATTAAATAAATAGCGTTTCAAATTACCTTTACAGAGATTATTTTGCCCCCCGTTGAACCGCCCAACACTTCACTATCCGGGATATCCAAGGCTACATAAGCATGCGCACCGCGGCGCACGTCACGGGTGTGACGTCAACGCGCTCCAATTCAAACTTCAGGAAACGAAAGTGTCGTTTTAAAACGGTCTCGCCACAAAACAGACGATATTTAGTGGATAACTTCCGTCTGCGTGTTCTCTTTGTAAGTATTAAATATTTTCTTTGGTTGTGTGTGCATGCCTATAGCGTTTGTTTTCAACACTTACATGTACGACAGAAAAAATAATATTACGTTAATTTGTGTTTGCTAGCTACCATTGACATGCGCACGAGAATTGGTAGTGTAATCAGCTGTCATGTTTTTATTTTATTTTTCTCATGTTTAATTAGCATGAAAGGATTTTATTTTCTTGGCACTATGTAAGGTAAATGTGAGGAATTAAACCTATTTCAATAAATGAAATTTGGAAAAAAAAAAAGTAGGATATTTTGATGTTCATTGAAAGCACGACGGGTGTGTCGATTTTGACTCAACTTGCTTTTGTAAAATGTATTATTAATAGTCAGTTCCACTTCTGTCTCTGTTTTTCATTTCGCTGTGTTCTTAGCTGAGGGTGTGTTTTGAGCTGCTCTTCACTTGGAGTGCTTGCACGAAATTCTTTGATTGAAATTAAACCGCATACCTTCTGGTGGATTCAACACCAGCACAGTCACTTTACTTTTCTTCCCAGAGCACTGCACTTAGTAACAACAGAAGCAGCCATGACATCTAAAAGTGCCAAAGAGACCATAGTTGCCAAGTTGGGTTTCAAATCCAGCAGCTCTGGCTCCAAGGCTGAGGCAGAGCTGGAAAAAGTCAAGAAAGAAAATGTTCACCTGAGAAAAAAGATTGATGACCTGGCCAAACGGCACATCAAACCGCCTGATGCGGACAAAAGCAAGCTGCTGGAGGTAAAAGGAAATCTTGGCTTTCTCAGTAACATTAAGCACCTGTAGCACTTCCTTGTTTTTTTTACATATATATATATGTGTGTGTGTGTGTGTGTGTGTGTATAATATTGGTTGTTTCAGAGGATTCTTTCCCTTGAGACCTTGAGAGAGAGGAACAACCAGCAGTTGCTGGTGAAAGAGCAGGAGCTGGAAACTCTGAGACAGCAGCTGTCAGCTAAAGGAGGAGAGGTACACACAACACCTCTCTACAGAAATACATAGTTAACAATCACATATACAGTCGACTCTTATAGCTCTATCCATCAAGAAGTCCTGTGTGAACGTGGTCAGATAGTTGGACACTTTTCTGCTCAGAGTGACAAGATAGACTTGCAGCTGTATCTTTGAAAGTACTCGACTTTTCAAGATATGTTGCATTCGTGGCATTGTATTGGTGGCATATGTATTGCTAGCAGCAGACAACTGTCAAAAAGAGAGAGGAAAAAAACTGTACTAGAATTCCAGTAAGCTGCCACAAAAACAGTTGGGGGGAAATGGCTTCTATCTCATCTTGACAGCAGCTCAGCAAAGTGAAGTTTTGACGACTAACAGAAACGGCATACTAACACATGGTGTTATGAGCTGTTCACTTGACTCATAAGCTATCTGTCTGCAGTGGGTCTTTTTGCGTGGATTAACATTCAAAACAAGTTACTGCTATGCTGTAGACTTTGCTCTTGTCTATTTTTGAAGTTTAGTTGGAGTTTAATTTGGGCTAGCTGGAAACATGGAAATGACACACTCTGACAAATAGAATATCAATATTTTATGTAACCCAGACATTAATCACATTTGCCTTGCGGTTGTTAACCTTCATTAAGAAATGCACCAATAAAAGAAAGAAAGAAATTGGAGCTGCTGTGTGGATCAGCCAGCTGTGCTATGTTAGTTGTGTGAAGGGGATAATTGCCTGGAAAACACAAACCATCCCTGCTTGAAGAGAATTGTGTTGTTTTGGCTACAGGTTGTTTTGGAGGCTAGTCAAGTTGTTGTTTGCTTCGTGTTGTTTTGTGTGCATTTCAGGTGGTGGCGTCGCTGCAAGCCCAGCTGGAGCAGCGGAGGAAAGAAGCAGAGCAGAGAGACACGTTGTTCCAGAGTTTGTCACAGGAGACGGAGAATCTGAAAAACAAGCTGGTCACTGTTTCTGCCCGATGTCAGACTCTGGAAACTCAGGTGGCGGTAGGTTGATATTATAACCTCTGATTTTTATTAGCCAGGGTCAGTGTCTCCTTTTACAAACGGCCAGTTGCCTTACTAATCTGTACTCTACTCTAGTTGTTTTTTTAAATCTATTACTACAGTGGTATTCGTTTTATTACACTGATAAGTGCATACCACTGTCCCCTAGGGTAAGTCTTTGCAATGCTCAGAGAAACTGTTTAAAAAAAAACACAATTTAGTTTTGCAAAATTAGATCTGAGCAAATAACAAGACTTTGGAGGGACAAGACCAAATGCACAGCACCACATTTGGTGAAAACCAAACGCAGCATATCAGCACCAACTCCTCGTATCAGCTGTCAAGCATGGTGATAGAGGAGTGATGATTTGGGCTTGTTTTGTAGTCACGGAGCCTGGGCGCTTTGCAGTGATCGAATTGACCATCTGTCTGACAGTTAAAGCTTGGCCTAAATTGGCTTACGCAGAAGAACAATAGTCCCAAATCGGCAACAGAATAGCTAAGAAAGAAAGGAATCAGTGTGTTGAAATCACATAAAGTTCAGATACAATGATGTAAGAGACTGATAAAGTTATGCAGAAAGCAATTACTTCAATCTTTTGCTGTTAAATGTGGTTTTACAAGCTACTCAATCGCAAGTTCTATTCAGTTTTTCCCACACAGTGTTTCTACAGTTTGGCTTCCTTTTTGTTAAAAAAAAAAAATACACTGTGTAAATCACATCTTGTTTTTTTTTTTTTTTTATCTGAGGCTTTTTAAAAATGTAGAACTTGACAAGAACCTGACTTTTTTTTAATTGTCTTAATTTGTAAAACCCAACATGCACTTTCTTTTTTACCGTGACTGCATTTATGAGTACGCCTGGGCTAGCACAAATCATTTTATTTGAGTATGAAGAAAAAGAGGAAAACTTGAGGAAAAAGTCGCACCCTCTTTTTGGCAGAAATCGCAAAGGAACAGAGTTGCTTGAGTAGTTATATCCCTTCCTCTGACAGCAAATTTTCCCCCTGGTCTCGGATTAAATCCTGCAACAGCTTTCTGTCCTCTGCCTCCCATTCTAATATCCTCCTCTGATTTATTTTTTCCCTTCTTCTGTATCTATAGTGCTGATGCAGTAGAGCTATTTCTTTTGTTTTGTAACAATCTGGTCAAATTAAATTCAGCTTTATCTGTTGCTTGACTTGTGTTACAAAACTGGAGGCTGACTAAAAGTAAAATATAAGTGTAATATTTGCTCATGATAAGGCTTTTGTTTTGATCTGAGGTTGATGCACCTTAGACTTTCATTTTCATTTTTTCCCTCACATTTCACCAGGAGCTTTTTCTCTTCTTTTATTTATGTATTTTTCTTCAATAACTACTTCATGAGATGAAGTTTGTTTGAAAATCCAAGTGCAGCTGTTTATTTGTCCATTAGGTGGCACTGTGTGACCTCCAATTATATTCTTCATCATCTGACATTAGCTGCAGCAGATTTAATAATTTGTTTTAATGAAAGTCTCACATTACACGTTGCTTATAATGAAAATGTTTTCCCTTTGTCTTCTTTGCCAATTATTAACACCCCTGGTAGCATCACAGCCGTTACAATAGTGTCATGAAAGACAAAATAGCATCTTTGTTCAAATAGCACTTTGACTAAAGCATCAAATGATTCATATTCAGCAGTGTGAGAGCCTTCAGTGGGTCTGCAGGTGCCACTTCCCTTGTCACTGTAGGCTCTTAAATGTAGCCCTTTGATGCTTTGAGTGCAGCTGGTCCTGCTGCCCATCAGGATTCCTCTTGGCTTCTGAAGAGGCTTTGGTGGCAAAAATCACAAGTAGGGACTTGAGGAAGACGCAGTCATGTCATACCTCCCTTTATGGACAAAAGTACCTTTCTAGAGGTGGGGGTGCTGAAGCCCTGCTCATAGTACTACAAATGTAAAAATCAATTCAGCCTGTGTTTTAAATGGAGTTCACCCGCAGTATATTTGATCAAACTCCTGCTGTTTTAATCATAATCCGTTACACACAGACACACACACACACACACAGAAAACATTATTCAGTGATGTACAAAACAGCACTATCACAAAATCTTCTTGCTCTCAATTGTGGGTCAAATATTACTCAAAATCAAAAGTAGTTTTCTGTTTCTTTTTTTACAAGAAGCCCAGAGATTTCTTATTTCTTTCTTCTTCTTTTTTCCTTTTTTGTTACTCATGAAGGTCGCAAGAAGAGTTGTAATGCTGGTTGAATGTAAATGCTCTTAGATTGTTTTTATACTGTTTCAAGTCTAACTTGAGTCCAAGGCTGGAAAGCATTACAGTGCAATACTTGAGTTACTTGATATGTGGGAGGAGTAGTTGGTACTTCTTGCCTTTGTAGTCTTTTCATGCAGAGCTTTATGGGTTTTTGTTTTTTGTTTTTTTTAATCTTATGTCTTAATATCTTCAAGGTTATGTTTTTGTTTTGTTTTTTTTTACAGCAATACTCTCCACTTCATTTAGAAGGTTTTAAATTACTACATATAATCTGACCACGCCACCTATTTCTCTTCTTCTTGAATTTGGAAAAGCTGTTAGTGGGCATAGTTTATGGGCTGCACATTCAAATCCATCACGTTCCTCACAGAGCTTTAGCACAGAGATGATCATTTAGATGCATACTTCAACATCTCTGTGAAGGTTTTATAGGATCTGCTGGTGGGATCGGCCATGTAGGCATCAGAGTTAGGGTGACAGAATTGGGAGATGACTGTGTCTCTAGCGATGAATAGAATTTGCACCAGATTTGATAGCCTCGTCTCTCATCGTCTATTAAAACCAGTGCTTGTGCTGATAACTATCGATAGTGTTTTTCTTTTCATTCTCATTTAGAAGATGGGAAAAACCTAAACCCGCTACACCTTTGTTGTCTCAACCAT